GGCAAGGCGCGGGACCGACCTGGACAATCGATTTCCAGGGCGACATTTGCTTTTGGGGTCGCCCCCGATATCATATTTTCGGGGGCTCTTTTTGGCATTTCGGGGGCGAAATCGCCCGCCGCCCCCGTGTATTTTTTCCCCTGCATATATATATACACATCAATACAGTGGAGCTGGAGGGAGGGAAGGAGGGGAGGGAGAGGAAGAAGCACAGCTTGTAGAGCATGCACCCGAGCGCCTGCATGACGAGAGAGAGAGATTATATATACATACATGTACATATAGATATAGATTGATACAGTGGAGGAAGGGAGGGAAGGAGGGGAGGGAGGGGAAGGAGCACAGCTTGTAGAGTGTGCACCCGAGCGCCTGCATGACGAGAGAGAGATTATATATATATATATATACCTACACATATAGATATAGATTAAAGCAAACGAACCCGACACATACACGCACGCACTCACGCACGCACGCACGCACTCACCCATATGTCGGCTTTCGTGGTGATCGTATAGCCACTGTACAGGTCTACCATCTCAGGAGCGCGGTAGGCGAGCGTCGTGTACCTGAAGATACGGAGCATTAGTGTCACCTACTCTAAGCACTGTTGAGTTTTAATAAGTCACCGTCATCACTGTCATTATCGTTACCAAGAGCGCTGACATCACCGTCATCATCATCGTCATCATCATCACGAACAGCACGACATATCACGATGCAAGATATAGAGATGGAAGAAACAAATCCAGAGACAAAAAACATTGTCGAAAATATCACACAAAATTTAAGAAAAAAATTCTAAAAAAGCCGCTTAAAAGCTCCAAAAGCCAGCGGTCGCGTAGGGCGGGACTCTAACCTTGCACCCCGACCTTTCCTCGCCCCCCTGGTGGCTTACTTCTGCAGTTCGTCGTCGACGATCTGGACTCCGAGCTGCTGCGGGTTGAGCTGTCTCGCCGTCGCGCTCCCAAAGTCACAGAGCACGAAGTTGCGCCGGGTGTCCAGCAGGATGTTCTCGACCTGCAGGCCAGGAAAGGTCGCGAGAGGTCACGTCGGGGTGACGGGGTTAACCGACGGTGAGGGGAGGGATCGCGAGAGGTCAAGTGAGGGTCACAGGGTCGAGTGATAGGGGGAAGGCTGCGAGTGCAGGTGTGGTGCAGGTGGAAGCTTCGTGTTTATTAGGTTTTGTTCGGCTTGAGGTTGTTCAGTGGGATCGGAGTGTGCCAGCAAGTGCCGGCTAGCGACAACTTTCGTTCTTCCCCTCCCCTCTCCCTCCCTCTCACCCTCTTTCACCTTCTTCCTTCCCCTTCCCATCTCCCTCCTTCTGCCTTTTCCCTCCCATTTCCTTCTCCCTTTGTCCTACTCTTTTCCTCTCCCTCCCCCTCCCTTTCCTTACTCCCTCTCTCTTCCCCACCCCTTCATTTCTCCTTCTCCACTGCCTCTCCCCTCTCTCCCTCCCTCTCCCTCTCTCCCTCCCTCTGCCCCTCCACCCGGCTCGCCTTGAGGTCGCGGTGTGTGATCGGTGTCTGGCACTGGTGGAGACGGGTGACGACATTGCAGATATCACAGAATATCTCCTTCCCTTCCCCCTCCCTCTCTCTCCCTCTCTCTCCCTCTCTCCCTCCCTCTGCCCCTCCACCCAGCTCACCTTGAGGTCGCGGTGTGTGATCGGTGTCTGGCACTGGTGGAGACGCGCCACAGCGTCGCAGATATCACAGAATATCTCCTTCCCTTCCCCCTCCCTCTCTCTCCCTCCCTCTCCCTCTCTCCCTCCCTCTGCCCCTCCACCCAGCTCACCTTGTGGTCGCCGTGGGGGATCGGTGTCTGGCACTGGTGGAGACGCGCCACAGCGTCACAGATATAACAGAATATCTCCTTCCCTTCCCCCTCCCTCTCTCTCCCTCCCTCTCCCTCTCTCCCTCCCCTCTGCCCCTCCACCCAGCTCACCTTGAGGTCGCGGTGTGTGATCGGTGTCTGGCACTGGTGGAGACGCGCCACAGCGTCACAGATATAACAGAATATCTCCTTCCCTTCCCCCTCCCTCTCTCTCCCTCCCTCTCCCTCTCTCCTCCCCTCTGCCCCTCCACCCAGCTCACCTTGAGGTCGCGGTGTGCGATCGGTGTCTGGCACTGGTGGAGACGCGCCACAGCGTCACAGATATCACAGAATATCTCCTTCCCTTCCCCCTCCCTCTCTCTCCCTCCCTCTCCCTCTCTCCTCCCCTCTGCCCCTCCACCCAGCTCACCTTGAGGTCGCGGTGTGCGATCGGTGTCTGGCACTGGTGGAGACGCGCCACAGCGTCGCGGATATCACAGAATATCTCCTTCCCTTCCCCCTCCCTCTCTCTCCCTCCCTCTCCCTCTCTCC